CAAAAGATTTAGGAAAGATACATAAGTGAGGAAGAAGCTCCTGTATATATGAGTATCAGTAGGTCGAAATAAGTACTGTACAAATATGGAGGGTGGGTATCCTGATAATTATGAAAGTCTATGTTAATTCGGAGTTGATCTAGGTTTGATGAAAATTTTCGAATGTCCCTTCTGGGTTTTCAAAATTCTTAAATTAGCCATAATTTTGATATTGATCATTATATTCCTCTTGAAAATATTGAGAGTCATAGTTTTCATGATAAGTAGGTTCTTGATGGTAGGAGTATGATTCTAAAGCTGATCCATTATTAGCAAGTTCTTCGGAAACAAAATTACGTGTTTGACGATTATTGTTAAAGCAGCTGGGTCTATTTACGGGACGATTATTATTATTCAGCCGAACAATGGAAGTAGACATAGGCCTGAAATTTTAGGTATTTAGATTGGAGCCATCAAAATTTTAATTAGCTTGGGGTCTCGATCTAAAAGCTGCGATATTTGTGGGCAAGCGAGAAGCGTTGCTTATTGTAGGTCTGGGCATGTTCACGGGACCAGTTGGGAATCCTGGATGATTCATTAGAGTAGGTTTCCATGAGTGTTAATTCTGGAGTGTAGAAGGGCGTGGCTGCATAAAATTTAGTCTAGGGTTTTGCAAATTTGGTCTTGTTCGAGGAGATTTGATGTTTTTGTTAGCAAAGTCTTTGAAGCTAGATTGCAACTGCAAACTGTCATAGTCGTGACAAGCAGAGTTAGCGACATCCAACCCGTCAATCTTGGGGCGTAACAAAATAGAACGATAGGGTTCGCGCATGCCAATAAGAAATCAATCCAAAGCCATTTTTTATAAAAACCTAGTTTAGAGTTCTGAATAGTGACATCTGGGTATTCCAATTTAGCATGTTCTCGTAGAACATGTACTTTTTTCAAAATGTTATTATAAAAGATAATATAATCAGAAGTTTGTACCAGGATGTTTAATTCGTTGATCAAAATAAAATCATTTCTACGTTCTCTATAACTGTGAATCAAAGTGTTTTTGACTACATCCCAAGTATTGTGATTATCATGTAAAACCAATTCTTTTGCTTCACCTTCTAGTATTGAGACAACGTAGATCAAAGCCTCTTGTTGGAAAGGGAATCGATCAAATGAGATCAAAAATCTTTCGCAATTTTGAATATTTTCAGACATGTTGTTAGTTTCATGTGAAAATCTTAGCCAACTATTTTTTAATGATTCGAATTTAAAACAATAATCGTTCAAATTTGAGGCCATTTCAGGTCCTGTGGAACAGGGGATCAGTCTCAAATTCCTATAACTGCAAAGTGCAAAGTGTCCTTAAAGAATAAGACCATCATGATTCAGATGGTGCTGCTCCCAATCATGACTTACGCAGCAGTAGCTTGGGGCTACGTTTCCAAAACGTTGAACAAGAGGCTCCAGGCTCAACAAAACATAGCACTCCGTGAGACGGTGGACGCACCGTGGTATGTACCTAACAGAGTGCTATATAACGAACTACGATAGGTACCGGTAGTAATCCAGATGAGAGAGGGCCCGAAAGTTCTTTGAAAAGAACGAAAGACATCGAAACGTGCTGATTAAAGACGCCTTGGATTACGGCACAAGAACAATAAGGCGTCATAAAAGACCAAAAAGCCAGCTGCAACAAGAAAAAATTTGGCCCTAGCAGCTGATGAGGCCAAAGAAAAGGGGAGAAGACCGACAATACGTACACACAAGAGGGGAAAGGACAGCCCGTGTACAACGGGTGGACAAAAAGAAGCCTGTCGATTGAGGTGGCCAGAGTCAAGCACGGACTCGAGGCTAACCTCAGGAGACGAAGACAAACAGCAAATGACTGACTGACGACTGACTGACTGTCTCCAGTCGACGAGGAAAGAGCGAGTGCTCACCAACTTTAATGCGGGACTTAGGTCAAAGCCCCCAGCACAGGACCCCCAAGAAAGAGGCCGTCCATAAATGTCGAGAACCGACAGTTGGATGAAACGTCCACAACGTGCTTCCGCGACGCGTGCGCGATCGAGTCAGATTCGGGAAAAAGGGGCAAAATTGGGGAGGGGGAAGCTAGCTCGGCAGCACACACTCGGGAAATGTGCAGCGGCCTGAACCACGCAGCGCTTCGTCAGGCCTTCGGGCGGGAGAGGAGGGAGGAGCAGATTGCTCTTCCCCCCACTCCTCAAGGGTTGAGGTTGCCTGGAACAGGGGTGGTGGAAGGACCGCACAGGGTAGGAGGTGTGTGTGTGTGTGTGACTTATGCTAGTAGCAATATTTCTGCATAGGCCTCCTGGGATAACGTGATGGTCAATTCAGTGGACTCACAGGAAATCTGCTGAGTGACTCTATACTTGCATTGGACGTCATCTTGTTCTTGTACTAGGCGGGGTCGGATGAATTTTTGGAGATGAAGTCGTCACTGGTTCTCCCAGCCTTGTATTTTCGAGTTGTTTTGTGGCTTGGCACTTCAAAACTCGCCAGGTTCTTCTTCCTCGTTGAAATGGCAGCAGAACTTCTCAAATGGATGAGCCTTGGGTCACACAATAGCTCAAACGACACTTGCCTCGGGTTACAGCATCTGGATCTTAGATAGTCGATTGAGTAGTACTTGGTACCAAACCGACTAGATTACTCTCAAACTTGAGAAAACAGCAAACCGATTTCAACGGAAATTTATACTGTTCGCAGTGCCAATTAAATAAAATAGGCGACAAATCACTTAAAAAATTATTTATTATGATGTTGAAGGTTGTACAGCAAAGTAATAAAGTAATCTTATCTCTAAAACTATGCGTACTCATAATGAATCGGTATCCTGAAGGAATTTGTTATGATGGGAAAGTGCCCAAGAACATTTACTTATCAATAAAGGAAGTGTACATAGATATCGTTGACATCATAATTAACAATAACTCATAAGGAAAGTAAATACCCGGAATATACAGGAATGATAGGATGTTTAGTAAAATATACGAGGTGATATAATAATTTATATATCACGGAAAAAGCTGAAATTGCGTCGTTTCGGATAATTGATTACGTCATCAAAAAACGCCTGCGACTATGCCCAAATATGCTATCAGACTATTAGAGTATAGCACGGAGAGTTATAGTAATTTAGGTCGAATAACGATAGGATTACTAGTGAGAATATCTCAAAATGCGATACATAGTCTTGTTGATGTATTTGTACCTCATCCATGGAAAAAATTACTTCACTATCACCAGTAGCGAGTCGATCCTTAAACTAAATTATTTGCTTATTTCCAACAAGCTGGTTCCGACTATCAGAGACTGTCAAATACAGTCATCCATACAAATTTTAGTCGACTTACCGCCGCTTGATGCTGTAACGGCGGTGCGCGTGGCCTTCCGTAGTCGATCACTTATCTGGCGGCATCTGAAAATTGCACTAGAAAATTTGACTAAGTATACAGGGAATTCGAAATAATGAAAAACTCAATCTTATGGTCAGCTGCAAAAACCCTTCTAGGTTCCGACCCACCTTCTTGGATTTCACACAACATTAGGTCCCTAAGGCGTATTATCAGTTTCGTGTTCTACTGTATAGTTGTTATTACGTTCTCGGAACTTTCTTGTACTAGAGGCACATAAAGGGAGAACCAAATTTGTTTGACGACTTAAGTTCAATGTGTGCGAGAGAGCAGCCCGAGAAGTGTGTATCCCACAAAGAACCGGCATAAGAGCGAAGGTCATCACATATTGTTTAGCGTCGATGACGCAATCTACCGGGTTGCAAATAGGTTACACCAGAATATGTTCGCACGGGCTTTTACAATAGGTTAAATTACCGAAGGAGAAGGTTTGAACGAACATTTTTTTACATAAAATTAACATATCCTGAGTTATTGTTACATTTTGCGACAGCGATCGGTCGGAAAATGTAACAAATACCATTACGCAATACAAATTATCACTGCCTGCGGGTACGCAGGTGAAAACTGTTTCGAAGTAGGACGACACTCCTCAATGAGCGCTAGATGGGTACTGACCAAATCGCTCATCTATGAGCATGGAGGTAGAAACCTTGCTTTGCCAATGTTGGAGAATTTGTGGCGATCCTGAACTCTCATTTTGACCTAAACCTCCAATTAACAGATAACAACCTTTGCAATGATGCCGTTTGTCTGTCCCAGTGTTAACGAGTGCTCTAAGTAGGATGCCTTATGTCGAGTATAATAGCCTCCTTGAGTACCATCACAGCCATCTCCGTGGATGAGGTTGGCATGATCGAAACGATTTATATTTCATATGAGGTGGCTGATGAGCATCGCTTTAACTGTTCAAGAGTGAAATTCCAATAAAAACTGAGTGTTTGACCGCTGGTTTGTAAGCACCTTGAATCTGCGGGCGCTGTGACTAAAAATAATTAAATTAGCTTTTGCGACGCGACGGACGCAAGGCGACGACGCGCAGTGCCGAGCTTGCGACGCAAAGGTTGACGCTCGGCGGCTGCTGCGTCTATTTCAGTTTTTGGTTCAGTCTGTGGCGTGCCGAGATGGTCGATCGTAGCCGGCGGCGTCCATTTTAACATCTATAGTAAGTGAACACACACAACTCCTAGCATCGAAGACACGACAATCACAGCCATGGACCCGGAAGCCTTCTTGGACATCGCCAATCAGGTGGTGAAGCTGAAGATGTTCCCCTATTTCGACATCGCGCATTGCACACTGTGCGCTTTGGCTGTTAGAGAGGACCTCGGAAGCGGTAGGTGCTGGTTCATGTGCCACGCGAGAAAGTTGATTTTGATTTCGTTTCGCTTTTTCTACCGCATGTGCGGCTAGCCTGCTATGCTTCGTCTCATTGCATGCTATACCATTCCCATACCAAGGAGTGGACCGAATGGATGTGGATGTGATTTAGCATTCGGTAATACGTCGCCAGCGCCCGATTACCCGTTGGACTTTGTGTTTACAGCAGAGACGTAACCTCGATATTATGGGCATTTCACGTGGAGCGGACACCGAAAAAAGTGGGGTTTTAAAATTAGTTCATCTTAGGCCTGTTTGTACATCGAGTAGGAGTGAAAGAGAAAACACGATTTTTCTTTCGTGACACGTTCATTTGCTAAGTTACGAGCTTCGAAAGAGTATTTGAAATTGAGATTTCTTAGATAATTTAATCGATTTGAAAAGTATTATATTGGGATGTGAAAGATAGTAGATTTTCTATACTTTGAGATAAAAAAAAATTAAAATTAAAAAAAGCTGAAGGTACTAAACCAGGAGTAAGTACTTCAAACCAAAATTTTAGAAACTTCGTTTTTTTTTTCGATTTGTATTCCAAAATATATCCCAAGAAGTGTTTAAAATTCGTCAGAAGTTTTGGAATAGTATGCTTATTAATTGAGGAGGTACGCATTTTTATATACATACATGTAAAGTTTTGAAATGGTATGCTTATTATATAATTGAGGAGGTACGCATTTTTATATACATACATGTTCCACTGTACGTTATGTGCTTGTTTAGATCGACTAGTTTGCGATATATTGCATTAATATGCTACTATATGAGCATTTTTTACTCCAATAATTGTTTCAAATATATTCTAACAAAAATGTATAGATTATTTTCTGGAACAGTGAAATTTGAAATTGAACATGGCGCAAAGCCGAAAATAAACGTTTCTGGCTATACTTTGGGTAACTTCTACCACTGTTATCCTGATCTTTTATTCTAAAATATAGCCGAAGCTGTGCTTAAATACACTAAAATTTTAAAATGGGTTGCGCATTCACTAAGTAGAGGTATTTTTATGTACATATTAATGTCGTACTGAGTATGACGTCAGGCGCTTGCTTATGTTGACTGGTCGCATTAATACGCTACTATATGAATATATTTGAGCTTTAATAATAATTTTAAATATGCTTTATTCATAATCATTTGGACAGAAATTATTGTATTCTTAGAAATATTTTACCAGTTTATATGCCTACCAAAAACTGTTACACAGGCATCTTTCAAAGATATATAATTACAAACAAAATTGTATATAATCGATGCTGCCGGTGCTGTCAACATTTAAGAATAAATTAAATTTCGTACATTCGTAAATCCATTCCATTGTAAAGATGATTTTAATACCAATGCCGAATTACATTTTCACTTGAGTATCCTCCTAACAAGAGGCCATGCGATAGTCTGGGAGGTAATATTAAACCTACGTTAGAAGGCTTTGTGATATGAAGACCTAGTTTTAGCGAGCGAAGTAAAATTGTAAAAATTATCAAAAAAATATTCCTTTTAACATTAATGTAGCTTTACTAAATATACATTTTCCACAGACCATCCGACAAACAAGCAACTAACGTCATACTCAGTATGACATTAATATGTATATAAAAATACCTCTACTTAGTATACAGGGTGGCCAACTAAGAATGTGAGGTACTGTATCTGGAAACCTATCCATCGTAGAGGCTTGCGGCAAAAACAGTTATTAACAAAACGGCAAAGAGAAGAACCTGGAAAATACCTTCAAGTTTCTGAAATGACCGCTAGGGGACGTAACTGCAATCTTGAATCTAAAAAAGTGATGTTTCTGTGAATTCCGCTATAATAAACTAACAAAAAAATACCTAATCTTTAAAGTCGAGTATAATGTAAAACTTTTTTGTTTGCAATTTTTGCTGTATTGTCACATGCCAAAATCGGGTAACCTTTTTTTTACTATTATTTATTAGTAGTAGAGTGCGAATTCCTAGATACAAACTCTTCTCAATGATTTTCTTTTATTAAATTCCAAAGTTTATTGATTGTATAATTTCCCACGTATTATATCTGTCATTCCCAGCGACTCAGTATTGTGTTGAAACCTTTTGGACACTAATGTTATAGTATTATTAGCGACTATCTTATAAATTTCCTCGTAAAATATTGTTGGACCCTCGTAGAGTTGGCAACCAGCGAGCCACCTTGTGACTTTACACATACTAGCAGTATATGAATGTTTACCTTCCTATCAAGACACCTTCTGTTAAAATTTCTTTTACTCTCAAGATACCTTCTTTAACGGCTTTTATCTGTTCTTTTTGACTTTCTATCGAAGAAGCCTTCTTCAGTGCCACTTATTAACCTTCTTTTAGGGGGTTGCGTGCGCAGACGGTCCAGTGCCATTTTCTTTTTCTTTCTGCTATAGTTTTGGTTGTGTGTGGGCGTTTTTCCGTTAACTTCCAGATTTTGGGATATTAACGCCCCAAACAACAGTTTATGAAGTAGCACCCTTTTATTTTGTACCTTACGTTTAGTTGGGTTGATTAGGGTACCACCCGTCCATTTTGTAATGGGATTTTAACCTCCAGCGGTAAGTTCTCTTTTGTACACCACCGGACCACGTCCATTAATACTTGTCCTGAAGAAGTTTGTTCAACACCTGCTTCCTTTTAGTGGAAAGCCATTGTGGAGAACCACCATTCACACTACTCCAGCTTTGTTTTGTAGCTGCCTTGTAGCTGTTTCGCAGCCCATTTTGTTGGAAGCCATCCCTTCCCTTTGACAAAAAACCCTGATGTGAACACGTAAAACATACATTCTAATTGAGTATCTTATAGATTATATTATTAATATATTGATTATTGCTGACTGAAATTCTTAGTGTAATCTTGATTTTGTTTGGCATTTTACATCTTCAAATATAGAGCTTACTAGATTACATTAATCATGATTTTGATTTTTGAGCTGCCATAACTTATTTTAGAACAGGGGATAACTCTCTGAGGGTATATCACTTTGGTATATTTTTATCTTTTCTTGCTCTTGCAGATAGAAAAGTAAATTTCTAGTGACAGAGAATGTACATCGATTTTTCTTCAAGTTTGAGTCTTTTAAATGTGTAGTTCTGTCACAGACAGAGAATCGAGAGTAGATTTTTAAACAGTACTTCGCTCTCGAGCGGTACCCGTGCCTATTGATTCAGTGCTTTATTTTGACTCACCATCTTTTTCTCCGACGATTACCAATGATAAATGATATTTAAAAATGGTCCAGAATGTTGAAGATAACCCATTAAAATTTCCTCTATGGCGCACGCAGAGCGGCATACTTTATAAATTTGTTAAACCATCAATCCCTAATCTTTCTTCTCCTTCAGATAATTGGACGATGGTGGACCCAAGGACAAAAGAAAGATCATTCTTCAGCGTTGTTATGATGTTCCAACATCTGGTCATATGGGTGTCTTTAAGACTTTCTGAAAAATTCATTAAGATGAAGGCTGATGTAAATTATGTAAAACATTGTACTTATTGTGCCCAGGATAAAGTAGAGCAGAAGCCACCTGCCAGTTTAATGGGCGAACGTCTGGACATAACAGAATCATTTCGGGCTTTAAGTCTTGACTATATTGGATCTTTACCACCTTCAAGGAAAGGTTTTTGCTATATCCCTGTAATTTCAGACTACTTTAGTACATCAGCTTACTTATTCCCTTGTCGATCGGCTAAAGGTAAATTTTTAGTTGAAATTGTTGAAAGTTTCTTTCTTCTTTATGGAGCACCCGTTTATAACTTGCGTTAATGGAGTTCAGATGGAATCTAAGGAATTCCAAGCATTGTGTAAAAAGTATAGCACCCGTATATTCTATACTGCTAATTGCAATCCTCATTATAATCCCACTGAACGTCATAATCGAGTAATTAAGACCATGTTACTTACTTACCTCCGCCAGGAAAATCATAGGAGCTGGGATGAACATCTTGATGAGGTTGGTTGTGCTATCAGAACCGCGCCTAGTGAAACCACCAATTATAGTACATATTTTATTTTGTTTGGCAGAGAACTATAAACTATATGGAAGCGATCATCTAGTCAAGTTACCATCACAAAAAGTTGATGTGAATTCTTATGTTAGAAATCGTCAGAAGGGTTTCTTGAAAATGTACCAACAAGTTCAGGCCAGGATAAAATCTACGAGAACGTGGAATGCTAAAAGGTACAATCTGCGTCATCGTTCCATTTCTTTTAATTGCGGACATAAGGTCTGGCGTAAAAATAAAGTCCTTTCTGATTCTTCTAATAACTTCAGCTCCAAGTTACCACCAACATCAACATACCTTGGACCATTTATAATAAGACGGAAGTGTGACTCTTGGTCGTATGAACTTCAAGACCACACGCCACATGACAGCTGTTTTGCATTGATTGATCCTTGGATCTCATTTATAGAGATTTATTAATTCATTAATTAATTTAAAAAAAAGGAAAGAGGGATCACGCCACCATTTCCTCCTATTTATAAACAAAGGTGTGGCAGCATCTCTAAAAATAAAGTGGTGTTAGGTATTCAAAGGTTTCCGTAAAAATCACCCTGTATCTCCGAAATATCTGATCCGATTACAACTAACTTGGGTTAGTTGAAAAGAGCTATTCTGGGGCTACAAACATCATACTATGTGAAGTTTTGCTAGTTTCACATGTGACCGCTAGAGGGCTTTCTTCGACATACCAACAAAAATCTAATTACATCGGTATGAGTTTTTTTTATGAAAAAGTAGCTAAATGATGTCTAAACAAGCTCACGGAAATCGCATCTCAATATCTTGTTTCTAACCTAAAATTTAGTCCAAAGAAAAGTTTATACGGAAATCCCTTAAGTTTTTATTTTTTAAAGTAGGGTAAGTAAGTAATGATGATAACAAAAGGCATATTTATAGAATCAAGCCATGAAATACAATAAAACAAATACATAATCAAAATATTAATAATCCTCAAATTGTCAATAATTTTCGAGAGTTTTGTGTTACTTTAAGCAATTTTTGTGCTTACCAAATGCGTTTTACGAAAGATGATATATTTTTATAGGTATAGGTAATCCTCAAATTGTCACTAGTTGTCGATAGTTTCGCGTTACTTTGAGCAATGCTTGTCCTTACCAAATGCGTTTTATGAACGATGAAGCTGTTGATATGGTTGCAGCTTATTTTGAATGTCGTCACAATACCTCAGTAGCGACTCGATATCCAAATCGACGTCTTTGCGTTGAGAGAGTTTTTCCCCGATTAGTGGCGAACGGCAAAGAATTAGAACAACGCAAAAATATTAACCGCGTGCATATTAAAAGAAATCCTCAAGTCTAGCACAGGGGCATTATCCCTTGAGTTGGGCATATTACGAACACCGGTTTAAATTATTTTGAAGGACCGAAGGTAAGTTCTAATGGCCATCAAAATATAGAGATTTATTTAAATATGACTTTAATTACTCTTAGAATGCACCCATGTCATATCGTGTTGCAACAGGCATTGAAAGAGGAAGACTTTAATCGGAGGTTGGATATTGCCATTGGATGCTGTTAGGCATGATACGCGAAAATAGAGAAATTTTATTTCAAAGTCTTTGGACCGATGAAGCCACCTTTAATAGTGACGGGAGAGTCAAACTGCATTATTGGTCTGCAGACAATCCGCATTGGGTGCGGGAAGTTCATCACCAAGGACGTTGGAGTTTTAATGTGTGCTGTGACATACTGGGAGGCAGAATTATTGGGCCATATTTTTTGAGCAGTCCCTAAATGGCAGTGCCTCTTGACTTTTTGGACAATCAATTACCGTTATTGTTGGAAGATGTGCCACTGGAAACACGGAAAAACTTGTTCTTGCAGTTAAATGGCTGTCCAGCATATTTGGCTATTATTGTGCGTGTTAGTCAGCATTTCGAGCATTTATGAGGGCATTAGTAGCCTTTCTTTTTAAATCGATCCTTTTTAGTCACAACTTAATAATAAGACTAGCCCAGTTGCTGGCATGCTAACGCTATGCAAAATATTGTACGTTGATGTCTTTATTTAAAACCTCACGTAGCGCAGTTGTTGGTATGCTAATGCAATGCTAGCGATATACTTTATCCCTATGTCTAATCATTTTTTATCCTTTGGCATCTTTGATCTGTTATCTGCTATCCGCTATCTAGTATCTGGTATTTGGTATCTGGTATCTGGTATCTGGTATCTGATATCTGGTGTCTGGTGTCTGGTGTCTGGTGTCTGGTGTCTGGTGTCTGGTGTTTGGTGTCTGGTGTCTGGTGTCTGGTGTCTGGTGTCTGATGTCTGATGTCTGGCACCTGGTATCTGGCATCTGGTATCTGTTATCTATTATCTGTTATCTGGTATCTGGTATCTGTTATCTGTTATCTGTTATCTGTTATCTGTTATCTGTTAACTGTTATCTGTTAACTGTTATCTGTTATCAGTTATCACTTATCAGTTATCAGATATCAGTTATCAGTTACCTGAAACCTGTTATCTGTTGGCACTTATCAGTTATCTGTTATCGGTTATCTGTTATCAGTTATCAGTTATACGTTGTCAGTTGTCAGGTGTCAGGTGTCGGTTATCAGTTATCAGTTATCTGTTATCAGTTATCTGTTATCTGTTATCTGTTATCTGTTATCTGTTATCTGTTATCTGTTATCTGTTATCTGTTATCAGTTATCTGTTATCAGTTGTCAGTTGTTAGGTGCAAGTTGTCAGGTGTCAGTTAACTGTTACCTGTTACCTGTTGCCTGTTGTCTGTTAGCTGTTGTCTGTTGTTCGTTGTCCGTTAGCTGTTAGCTGTTAGCTGTTAGCTGTTAGCTGTTAGCTGTTAGCTGTTTGCTGTTTGCTGTTAGCTGTTAGCTGTTAGCTGTTAGCTGTTAGCTGTTAGCTGTTAGCTGTTAGCTGTTAGCTGTTAGCTGTTAGCTGTTACTGTACTGTTACCTGTTACCTGTTACCTGTTACTGTTACCTGTTACCTGTTACCTGTTACCTGTTACCTGTTACCTGTTACCTGTTACCTGTTACCTGTTACCTGTTACCTGTTACCTGTTACCTGTTACCTGTTACCTGTTACCTGTTACCTGTTACCTGTTGTCTGTTGTCTGTTGTCTGTTGTCTGTTTTCTGTTTTCTGTTTTCTGTTTTCTGTATTCTGTTTTCTGTTTTCTGTTTTGTTTTCAGTTTTCTGTTGTCTGTTTTCTGTTTTCTGTTTTCTGTTTTCCGTTTTCTGTTTTCTGTTTTTTGTTTTCTGTTTTCTGTTTTCTGTTTTCTGTGTTCAGTTATCTGTTATCTGTTATCTGTTATCTGTTATCTGTTATCTGTTACCTGTTATCTGTCACCTGTTATCCGTTATCCGTTATCTGTCATGTGTCAGCTGTCATCTGTCATAAATATTATTGACTTGTTGTAGGTATTTTACTGTTGTCAAAATTTCAAATGCCTAGGATATATTGATGATTTTGATAATGTCCTGTGTTATAGACCCTGCTGTTTCAAAATATAAGTCAACACTTACTTGTCGAGACAGCAACGATATGTTAATAACTCACATGGTTTTATAAAATCTTCCATAAAGCATTAAAAATACCCTGTATAAAATAGTATGACAGACTCAGATTTGCTCTCTATAAAAGTATATAACAAACTCAGATTTATGAGAGGATCCGGCAACGTCACATAAGTCTACCAACCATGGCTCTTGATACTGACATATGTCAACCGTGTTCGCCTAAGGATAGCACGGGACTGTTCTTTCTTCAGTGTAAATGTTTTATGATTTGACAGGAATGAAAATTATTTTTACCCTATTTAAATCTGCTGACGATTAGTACCTCTCAAACTTCTTCAAAGATGAAATACATTATCACGATAGATATACACTGAGGCACTTCGTCTGAACCGAAAACTGTAAACACTCGGCACCCGGTATCACTAGACTGTTTCGACTATATTAAGCGGCGATCGATTGTTTCGATTGGTAGTAAAATTGTTAGGGGTTCGGAAATTGTATGACATCGACGCGGTTTTTCCGGTTTTTTAGGAGGTTCACGGTACGTTCGGAGGGAAAGAGGTACCGTTTCGGAAAGTAGAAACACGGCGCTTTACGGGCGGGCGAGAGCCGTCGCGGTAGAGGAACGGATCGGATCGAAAACGGCCGGTAAAGTCGAAAAATCGACCGTTTTTCGGACGGTACGCGGCGTTATTTCACACTGGTTTCGCCGTCTATCGAAATATCGACTCGAGATCAGTCTCGTTCGATAGCTAAACGAGAAATACGTGCCAGTAAGCTGAATCTGTTCGGTTCCGCGTCTCGGTTTTTTTTCTAGAAATGTTATAAAAAAAATGCGACAAAAATGACGAATCGCCCGGAAAACTACGATATCTCCCTTATGCCGAAGAGAAAAGGAATTTCGCGCGCCGCGTTTCGTACATCTCGGCGAGCGTTACAAATTACGCGGAGAGACGTTTTTTCGTGTACGGTACCCGTTTCGAATAAACGAATCTCGAACGTCGTCAAGAATCACTTTTTGCGTATAAAACGCGCTGCTTCGCCGTCGATCACACATCTCCTCCGAAGATAAAGGAGCTACGAACCTGACGATTTTTGCGTGAGAAAGACCGGACATCGGACACTAAGATAGCGTCTTTTTTTTCCTTTATCCCTTGTCGTTCGAAAGTTTCGATTTTTTAAAAATTG